TGGTGCTTTCTAAGACAAGCAATCACACACACTGAAACGACACATTGGTGAAAGAAGAAGAAAAAGACAAAACGTCACGACAAATGAGAGCACAAAAATTGAGACGAAAGTCACAAACACATTCACACAGAGACTTTAGCAAGCAAATGACGACAGCAGACACACTAAAGTGTGCCCAATTGTGTTATTTTTCAAAGTTTATATAGGTGACACTGTGCTGTGCGATACTGATTGGCAATTGGCAGTGAACATATTGGGCTGGGAGAGAGAGGAACGTGGTCGCCGAGAAAACGGACTGCCAATTTAACGGCGATGCAATGGGTGTCTACAGCCAATCTCGTACAGCAAACAAGCAGAGGAAGTAATAGGAGAAAGAGAGAGTTGCCGTTGAGAGTCAAAACACTGCAAAGGGGCACTTTTTGAGTGGGCACGTTCGTCTCAAGCGAGAGGGAAGCGGGAGAGTGTTTGACAGTAAAACACTTTGAAGGGCTTATTAGAGTCTGAGAAAGAACGTCTCGGCCAGTGCAGTGGAATCACTACACACAGGCACACACTGCACACAGCAACTCGTTCAGCCGTACAAGAAGAAGGAGTGCACCGGGTGCAAAGGGGAAAACTCAAAGCGAGTCAGCTGGAATGTGTGTGCAGACAGCCGCACCACTTTCTCTAAACAGGATGCGCCAGAAGAAGAAGTGACAAAAGTGAAATTGCCTTCCTTCCTCTTCTACACTACTTGAGCAAATTCTGACAAACCAATTGTGCAAAGATGCAAAGAAGAGCTTCCCCCCTTCAGGCGAGTCGTGGACTGAGAAATAAGATATCGCAGTGCAAATGCCAAAGCAATTTGGCTGGCAAGTAGTGAAAAATGGCTCTCTGGAAAGGCTTAGGGTGAAGCGAAGGATTTCTTCTCTTTACTGCTACCCACTCAGCCCAGTTATGAATTGGATTAGGTCGCAAATGAAGGAGTACTTTCAAGTATAATTAGAGTAAAAGTAAACTAAGCGAGTAACTTAAAAGGCAGCAGGCACGCAAACTTGGACGTCACTCGCTGATGAAACAAATTATAAAAGGTGATGATAACTCCGAATATGAAGGCACACTTTCGCTCAACTCTATACAAACGGTACCATAAGCCCGAGTGCCGAATTGAATAGAAAGTGCAAAAAGGAAAGAAAAGTCTTTGTGCCATACCAGGAAAAATGCTAATGAAAGTGAGCACCAGATCGCACCAGATAGACGTTGAACTAACGGTTCGATAATAAGAAAAGCACCCCAAATGGGCCTGAGGAAAATTTGAAAAGGGCAACGCACCGGCACGCTTTGTGCAGCGGCGGAAATTGAGACCATTCTCTGGTGTGATAAGGGAGCGAGAGAGTATGCAGGTCAGTGGGAGCACACTAGTAACGGTAGCCTTGTCAAGATCAAGGTAAGTGAAGTAAAGGCTGCCTCTGCACACAACCTCTACCTTTGAAGTGTTGCATGTACGCGTTTATCGACCACCCAATTCTAAAGGAGTGTGCAATTGCAAATGTAAAGTAAAAACCTTACCTTGACAATGAGTATGTCGAGNAAGTGTTGCATGTACGCGTTTATCGACCACCCAATTCTAAAGGAGTGTGCAATTGCAAATGTAAAGTAAAAACCTTACCTTGACAATGAGTATGTCGAGGAATGAAAGTGGAGGAGGACGTGTCTTTCTAGTGAGGTGCACCGGGGGAGGAAAAACCTTGAAGGTGATGACCAGAGATGATATACGAGACCAGTCAAATCTGACTGCCTCTGACCACACACTGTTGTAAGTGTGTCGTATGTTGAATTGTTGTACAAGCTCATGTGCTAGCAACCGCAGTTTGGGCGCCAAGAGGGAGGAAGCCGATGATGCTCCTGGCTTGCTTCACTTGCATCTGTCGGTGCTGTGTGTGTTTGGCGTGCTCGTGTCTGTGCGCGTCTGCACTGGCGGCTGATCAAACACACAGAGCAGAGCAGAGATGAGGATGAGGATTGTGCAGCGACAGAAGACAGTGATTTGCTGTTGCTGATGTTCACTTTGTACGGTGCTGTGGTGATGCAGTCGCTGGTCTTGGCAGACGGCAACAACTCTGAGAGAAGTTCAATGAAAGGATAATCGTACGAGGTGATCGATGCTACGGGATGTTGCGCTTCACAGCAACCGAGTTATGCTGCTGCTGGTGGTCTTCTCCTCTTTCCACTACGCTTCACCGAGGCGCCCTGTTGCCGTCAACTGTCGGGATGTGTGTAGTGTGTAGTGGCACGGTGATCCACGCAGGAGAACGGTAGTACTGCTCACAACAAAAGACGAAGACGACGACTTTCAAGTTGAAGTTTGCCGTTGCAGCCAAGAGTTGCAGTTCAGAAGCTGACAGTTGGAGAGCGAAAACCTGTGTTGTGACTGGCAAAGAGTACATACACTACTTCGCCTGCTGCAGTGGCTGCAAACTTGTGCTTCGTGTCCTGTGAACAGAGGGCGATGTCTTGTTAGTTGGCTGCTGCTGCTGACTGGCGCCCAGTAAGAAGGCGAAATCAGGATACTCACGAGCGTAGTGGTGGTGGTGGTGGTCTGTGACGCCAAATAATCACACATGTGGCTCACTTCAGCTGGCCAATCGTCGACCCTTCTCTGCGTTTTGACAGATGAGCCAGTGGCTCAGGCGGTTAACAGGGCGCTTGCCGTCCGTAGAGTTTGCTGCTCAACTGGTTATCTTATCGAGGAGCTTTGCAGCAACTTTTTCTTGCACACCAGGAACTGGATGACCAAGCACAAGTTGACACCACCAGAACTTTCACCTGCTGAAAGAAGAGCATTGCTTTGTTGGTAAATGAAAACAAACAATCCAAAGTGCTTACCTCAATCTTCAGCCTCAGAAAAGTCCTCTCTACAATCCTCAGCAGGAGCGAACAACCAAGGGGAGTACCGGTAACCAAACGTCGTCAGATGAGAAGCAGCAGCATTTTCAGCGGGTTCCTTCGAAGACATCAACACACACACACAAAGCGACTGTGTTTTGCAGCAACGACAAAGCAAGATAGAGAGAGAGGGAGAGAGAGAGAGAGAGCTGAAGTCAGCGCGCGCTCACTGCTTCTGCTGGTCTGCCTGCCTGCCTGACTGTGTGCGCTTGCAGACTTCTTCCTCTGGTTTGGCAATCCTGGTTGTGGTGGCGGCAGTGGAAGCAACGGGAGCCTAACCAGACGCCCGTACATCAGCAGAAGAAGCTACAGAAGAGAGGCCGCTGACTGAGGAAAGCGAGCGGAGAAGGAGCGAGGAGAGAAAAAGGACGTAAACAGTACAAAGTGGCAGTGAAGCAAGCAACTCGCTGAATTCCTCTCTATAGAAACGCCGTGGGCTCTACTGCCCCGAAGTGACAGACCCGAAGAAGAATTGGGGAGAACAAAAGAGAGAGAGAATATTCGTCTGTTGTTCGCAGCCTATGTCTAAGCTATCCAAAGCCTTACCCCCTCAAAGAAGACAAAGAATAACGGTCTGAAAGAGTCGACCAGCTTAATCGGCCAACTGGCAGTAATTAGAGCACTGGCAATTAGCGCTGCGTCTCGGCATGGTTGCTGAGTGAGTTTGTGTGAAGGAAAAAGAAATCAGAACCGAACGAGGTGGCCACAAAAATGCACCGTCATTGCCACGTTGTATATCATCAGCGCCAGACCATTACCATCACCATCACCACCACCAGTCACTGTTGGTGTATCCCCTCTTTTCCTCCTCCTCCTCCTCCTTCTCTTCAGTGTCATTCAACCGGCATTCGAATGGCATTCGCCTTCACTTGCCAGCACATCGTCTGTAGGTGGTCTGCACAATGTACTGCACTGCTGCTGCTGCCGCCGCTTTGGCGTCATCATTCCCAGCGCTTGCCAATCATCAGTGTCCACCAGTGACCATAGCGAACATTATTCTTTTATGCATATGAGTGCTCCTATTTTTAATTTGCCTCATTTTTCTCAGTCAATTTCAGCGCTTGCCAACGTCGACCGTAGCACCAGGCTCCAATTTGGTGCTAAGCAGGCAGACAGACGGCGACGACTGTTATTAATTGTGCACACTAAACGTAATTAGAAAGTGGAATATTCCTCTTTCCACTAACTGGAACACGTCTCCAGTGCCTTGAATGATGTCCTTAATTATTTTAATGCAGAAGCAGCAGCAGCAAAACTTTTTCTTGGCGTCCAAAAATAGTTGTCATCAGTATTCTGCTGCCTGGCAAATGCGAAAAATACTAATAAATGTCCTCTCCATTCAACCCAAATAGACTTTGGCTGGAAAATGAAAAATGCCCAGTGATTCTCTGAAGTGAGCCAATTGTCGCCCATTGTCTCTAGTTGACACTTGTCGTACTTATCTGCTCAGCAAATCTAATCATCGCTACTAGATAAATGTGGCAATTTGGATTTGCTAGCACTGCAGTGCGTTTGTAGTGTGTTGACAGGCACTATCTCTCTGCATTTCTAGTTCCTAGTTCTCTCTTTGGCTGAACATTTGTTTACAGCAACTAGAAAAAGCTTTTTCCCGATTTCTCTGGGGTTCACTTGTACGACTGAAAAGTCAAGTGTCGCAGCACTGAAACACTGCTAAAAGTTAGTGCTTGGAAATAATCAATTCAGACAGGTAACAAATTACTTGCAATTTGACAATATGACAAAAAAATTCTTAACAACCGATTGCGAAAGAAGAATAAGGTTACTTCTTTTGATGATAAGTAAAGACACACGCAGTTAGCATTTATGGCAATTTGAAAGTATGTGTTGCGATAAAAAGCAGCAGTCAAGTGCTGGAAATGAGGACAAGTTCAATCGATTGATTGTCGATGGGAATATATGTGAGCGGTAGAAGAGCACAGAGTGATTTACTGTGCACCGACAATTGCAGCCCCCACCAGAAAGTGGCACTCATTGCACTAATTGGCAATGTCAACATTGCCACATCAAACTGATGACAATAGAAATGGAAACATTCTGACAGTACTGAAAATGTTTTAATTTGTAAATGGCTCCGAGTTGACAAACTTGGCAACTAAATCGAGCGCCACACTGGGCTGCTCATAGGGCAGTATATGACCTGAGTTGATGACCACCGCCAGTGTCAGGTGTTCAGCCTGCTGAATGTAGCCGGTGATTGCGGTCTGGTTGCCTTTGCCCTCTCGGTACACTCTTCTCCTGGCATTGCTAAACTTCCGGTGACCACTCCACTTGAGCCTGCTGATCATGTTCTCCGTGCTGATCGTCGGCACAATAATGTCCAGAGCGCCGCTGTACAGAAGCAGGTCAACCCGTGCGGTGAGCAGTTCATCAATCAGCGGCGCAGCGCTGACCATAAAGTCGGCAAAAAGGTGCTGCTCTACGAGGAAGGAGTTCCCGGAAAAGGGTCGATTGCCAACGTGCAGTGCTGCTCGTGTCGAGTTGAGCACGACAAAGCGTTCGTAGTACTTGAGTTCTTCCGGTGCCTTGTCGTGCAGCTGACTGTAGCGATAGCTGTATCCGGTGGCATTGCCAAACACTGAACCGGCGCCATTGGTCAGCTCGCCGAGCATCAGCCAGTCCCAGAGGTGATACGCCTTTAGGTACTGCCTGGCGTCGATTAGATCTCTAATTTGCTGTTCACTCTTCTCAAACAGCTCCTTCTTTTTGCCACTTATGAGGCCGGCACTGTGCAGAGACTGTCCGTACAGCATCTGATGTCGTGGATCGCACATTCCATTGCCAATGATGGCCCCAGTCAGTGGCACCACCATTTTAGGCTGCTGGTTGAGAATTTTATGAGCTAGGCCGACCAGGTATTTACAGGCATAAGATTCACCAGTTAGA